GAATCCATTGTGGCGCAAGGTTGCCGGCGCTCGTCGGCACGTCGTACTCCTCTCCCCCGCTTCGACCGTTGTGAAGATATTTCCGTCGGGCGAATGACCCCGGGGAGCCGCGGGCTTCCATCCTGCCAGCGCAGGTGACCGTGACGTGTCACGGCCGCACCAACAACCCCCTCCCCCCACTGCGATATTAAAGCCGGCGCCTAGCGAGACGGATTTTTTGCGTAGATGATAGCGAGACGTGTAACGCTACGTGCAGAACAACAAATTAACACGTGGGGTGCAGCGGACAGCTCCTGCGGAAGCCTCGCCGCGACTCTTATTTAAATATATAGCGAGTTTGGACAGTTTCATTATTCTTTTTTTTTAAACAGGAAATAATGTAAAGCAGCCTGCTAAAAAGATCAATTTGTACGTTGTCAAGGCACGTGTCAAAGGCAGCCACCTGAAAATTAATGCACCTGAAGCGTTCAGGTTGGGAAACGGTGTTTCTTGATGCCTTATCAAAACATGGAACATTAATTTAGTTGCTAACGGTTCCCTTTTCGTGAACATTATTCTATCAGGCGTAGAGGCGGAGGAGAGTGGGTCACAGTGACGTCCCCGCTCTGTGTTTGAGGAGCGCGCGTGACGACGGCGGTGCTCGGTTTCTCCCGGCATAAATCATTTTTTTGTTGTTTATGAAATTCCGCTCGGATTTCACTTACAGTGTAAACTATATACGGATTAGGACGCATTTTCCGAAGATTTGGTTGGGGGCGGGGGGGGTGACAGTAAATAACAAGCCACTTCTAAGCGCGACCTCGCGCTCTCGGATTTGTATTCATTTCGGAGTCTTTGTTAATCAGAAGGAATGGGCTCGCAATGAATTCTTATTCATCTTAATAAACCGTAAGTGCCCGTGCTGTGTGCACGCGCCCGTTTCCGGACCGGTGAATTAAACCCTTAATAATCCATTAGAACCGCCAATCAGCCGGATACTGCTTTGGCGAGAGTTGCTCATCGCAGAGGTGGGAACGCGCCCGCTAAGTGTTCAGCCCATTATAACACTTCAATGCTTTACAAACACTTGCTCATGCTTAACCTTTATTGACCTTCCAATTCACCGTACCGTGCCCTACTTCTCTCTGCGATCGCTTTTTTTCGGCTTAACGGCCTGGGCTGACCTGGAGGGACGGGGTAACGGAGCGAGGTCACCGAGGTGGGATGGGAGCAGGAGAGCCGGATATTCTCGCTTAGATGGGGGGGCGTGGGGTTGGGGGACATGGGGTGGTGTGGGGGCTACGGTAATGAAAGCAAAGGAGGTCAGAGGTCACGTTGTGCGGGGTCAGGAGTCTCGGGCCAAAAGGTGAGACAACCCCGAGTGCCCTTCCCCCCCCCCCCCCTCGTTGCTAGCGCACGTGAACCCACGGCTGATCGAGCGCGGTGTAAAATCTGAACGTGGGTCGGTTGGTGAAGATCTGTGCAGAGATTGGTTCAGATGAGGTCAGTCGGTGTGTGACGGGTCTTTTGTGGAGAGATGTGTGGTGGGCGGAGGTAGCGGTGGGGGCGGGGAGAGGATGTTTCAAGCGGTGGCGTTACACGGCGTGACATTTTTGGGAGGTTATTTTTATTTATGATTATTATGATTTAGTCTTTGCCGTCGTGGTCGGCTGGTCAGGAACGCCGCGCACGTTGTAGAGGGGGCGGGCGTGGGCGGCCGTGCGCGTGCCGGGTGGCTCGAGACCGATTTCCTTGTCGGGGAACCGAGCCGAGGGACCTTCCTTGAGACGCCGGGTTCAGGCCCCAGGGGAGGACCAATCAAAACAAACGCCGTCCGGGCCGTCCGGGAAAGGCTTGCCACGCGCGGCGACGGCTGCCGAGTTTGATGGGCTCGCCGCGGTCACCGATGGCTGCGCGGGGAAGACTGCCTCTTCGGGATCGGTGTTTTGCGCTCTCGGCTTTTGGTTGAAATTTGTGCGACAGGTCATTTTTTTTTTTGCACCGCCTCTCGCAAACCGGCCACGCGTGGACCCCCATGGGCGCCGAGGCGAAAGCTCTGCTGGGATGGAGGTGCTCACTCCGGCGACGGGAGGGGGGGAGGGCTGAGTCCTCGCTGCGGGGTGCCGAGGGCCCCCCCCCCCCCATGACTGCCACGAATTTTTTGCTGCTTCGCCCGTTTTTTTACGGTGCCGGGTGATCGTAATGTGAAAGGAAAAAGAGCAAGCACGTTCGGAACAGTCGTGCGTACGCGTGGATTCTGTCACGCGTTCCAACGGGGCCTCCGTCCTGGGGTGGGGGGGGGGTGTTGACTGAGCAATGATGACGTCACGTTGCAAGTCGTACGGTAAGGTGACGTCACGCGTCAAATGTGACGACGCGACTTCGGGAGCGGAGGCGATCACGTGACGCGTGACGTAGGGCGTCTTGCCTGGCAGGGCGAATACTTTTAGCGCTGCTTTTTTTTGCGCTATTTGTTTTTTTGTTACGACCCATTGATTGAGTTTGGCCTATATTCTAACGGGCGATTCCCTAAGTAAGATCACAACTTATTTTTTTTTTAAATCTTTATATTTTGACTTCAAACTTTCGTGACTGCAGGAATTCATATTCTTGATTATTTCGGTAAAGTCACGTAGATAGAAAATTAAAATAAAATAAAAAAATAATAAAAAAAAAACCACGACTTTGCGATCGAAACGTCGTGGGTTTTTTTTTGCTTTTTAGTGAAAAAAAAATTCTATCTACGTGACTTTACCGAAAGAACCAATAATATAAATTCGTTTCTATGGTGTTCATTTTTACGAGAGGTATCACGTCCCCTCTCCCTCCCCCCCGGTTCTACCGCATTGGCTCTTTCAACCTTGGCGTGAAAGCCCGCGGATTGCGAATCGAACACGAGGAGACCGCCGGCCGGACTCGTTAAGGGGGGGCTGCTGGGAAACGCAAAGCGAAGGTTGCAACGGGCGTCTGCTCGGACTACGCGGGCACAGCATCAGGACAAATAGCACGTCGCGGCATTCATCTCGCGACGCAGCCTGCACGCCATTCCCCACATCCTGCCGTGTCAGCGGACCCTCCTCACGGATGAAAGCAATATTATTTGGACTCGAAAATGTCAGTTGTCTGATTGCAGCGAGCGTCGAGATGTCTACCCGGACCCCATCCTTATTTTATACTTTCCCCCCGCCGCCACCGCCCACTTTGTAATTTCTCTCCCGGTCATTTCATTTTCAATACGGTAGCAATCCTGCGGGATGGGAGACGCGGGCACAAATTTTTTTTTTCTTTCTTACGCCCACGAATACCTCAAGCGACACTTAATCTGTTTTGTGTGCCGAGCGCGCGCGGTATTTGCGATTAAGTTTCACGAGGTAAACCCTTGCGCATTTCCCTTAAATATACACATAAACTGATCTGTCTTCTTTTGGCCTCCTTGTTTAAAAAAAAGGAATAAGATCATAAAATGTAAGTAAGCACGTGTCAGATGAGATTACATCTTTATTAATCACAATAAAGTTTACCCGCCAGCGTCTCGGGATTAACTGATGAAAAGGATGAATATTAAACATTCATACGCGTTGGCGTCGCAAACAAAGGAGCTTTTGGCCTGTAGGTCTTCTCTGCATATATTTCACTTTAAAGCTGTGTAAGAGGCGGTTATGAGTTAATGAAATGCAGGGACACATCTCATTTCATCTAATCTAGGGGAAGCGAACACTAAAACCTCGCGTGCGTGTGTCTGAGTGTCTGTGTGCGCGCGCGTGTGTCTTGAGTGTGTGTGTGTGTATCTCTGTGCGTGTGTGTCTTGAGTGTGTGTGTGTGTATGTCTGTGCGTGTGTATCTTGAGTGTGTGTGTGTATGTCTGTGCGTGTGTGTCTTGAGTGTGTGTGTGGCGGCGGTGGCGGTAATTCTAGGCTCAGTCTCATGAAAGGTGCTATTTAAGTTTCTGCCCTCCGGATGGAAGCGCTATGCCGACCTAACTGCGATGCTCATATGCGCGTGTGTTTTTATTTTATGAACCGAGAATAAAAATGGAAAAAAAGTTTTGAGAACAGGATATTAAAACTGTTCCGTCACTCGCTTCCACTGCGTCGCTTCTCAATACAGCGGCTCGGAGCGTTCAATGTGCTTTTTCTCAGATAAACCTAAGGTAGTTGGCGTGGATTTAAGTGCCGCGCCTCGCCTGTGGTATCCACCGCTCATAGCCCACTTGCTAAAGGCCCACGCTGGTCAGGTGCTAACGCAATAGGATGATAGGCATTCCAAACGTATAAACCCACTGGGCAGCGTGAAAAACGTTAAGACGATTAAAAGCGTATTTAAATACTGTATTAAAATTGATGTCAACATTGCGCCCGGCTTAAATAAGCATTGGGAGCAACGCAGGCCTAAACCAGCGGTGGGAATCAATAATAGTTTGAATGCCTTTTGAAAAATCCACTGCTGGATGAAGGCTGCCCTGCGCTGTGGCAGTTCATTGGGCTGATTGATCATACCTCATCCCGCTGGTTCGTGCCTGGACTCAAACATCATCGGGTTCATCGTGCGGTGCGCTAACCACGGCACAAAACATCAGCTGAAAACGAAGGTTTTGTGTGCTCCGTAGACAAAATAGAATACACTGACCTCTGTTCTGTATCTCCACCTAAAAATATGCTTTCAATCATTCGACCTTTTGGTCTTCAAGAATTAAATAATCCAACAGCATTTGTTTAACCGGACGTGTTGTAGATTGGTTTCGACCTTCTGGCTCGCATCAGCTGAGTTGGATTGGTGCACAAACTAAACTCCTTATTGACCGTGGGCGGTTAGAAGCGATGCTGACCTGGTCAGTGGAAGGTTGGAAGCGATGCTGACCCGGTCAGAGCCGCCGCGGACTGACTCGCCACATCTTCCACCGATTCGCGGGCAGCATCCACAGCGTCCAGAAGCTGGAACGCGCCCCGCTCGCTCACTCACTCCTCGCAGCGCACCGGTGCCCGATCGGGCTACCTGACACGGTCCCTCCGCCCTCTCCGCAGACGAGGTGGCGCCCTACTTCAAGACGGAACCGGCGCCGCTGCAGACGCACCTGGAGGGAAACCGACTGGTGCTCACATGCCTGGCCGAGGGCAGCTGGCCCCTGGAGTTCAAGTGGCTCTTCAACGGACGTGAGCTCACCGGATACTCCTCCGAATACCGGTACGTCACGCGCGCCCGGCAATGGACGGATTCAGGTGGTTGGGGTTTGGGGGTTGGGAGTGAGGGTGGTTGGGGGGTGGGAGGGGAGGGGGCAATATAATTTCACAATGTCCTCCAACGTGGTTGGGTATTTTATGAGCAATGGCGTGACTTCCACGTTCCTATGGCAGGGGCAAGTATCTCCATAGGACAACCTTTGTTGACTTCCCCACAAACTAGGAGTTATTTAATGGACCTCAGACGGATGGAGGGATGATGGGATTGGGGAAACCCCAACCAGGATTTGAACTCTCAACCTTCCATAAACGTGGACAAATTTCTATCTAAATAGTTGAGTCCTAGTTGGTTGCCATACATACCATGCAGAAGAAGAAAGGCACTTTATGATCATTCTCATGATTACCCACATCTCCAAAGCATTCAAAACGTACATCTGCCCTAATGGTGCTGGCCAAGTGGTATCAGCAATGATTAATCCATTGCTGGATGAAGGCTGCCTCCCCCCCCCAAGTCGTCGCAAGCTCTCGTACCTTGTGATGACGTTTGCGTTCCCCAAACAGGGCCGTGACTCCGTCGTTCCCATCATTTGTCTCATTTACCCTTCTGTCGGCGCGCTCTACCCAAGCCCATACTTATTTTTTTACCGGCCGACGTAGACAAACCGAAAACATCGATTCGTACATAGGCAATGCGATGCATGTATCGTGAGCTCCAGAACCGATATTGTCCAATCAGTGTTCCCCCTCCCCCACCGTTGGTCTCCTTGGAAGTAGCGATTGCAAGGATGAATCGGTGAATTGATTAAAATCTCTTCTTAACGCCCATGATGCATGCGCTGAATCGAGCCGCCAAGAACACGTTCCTGCCTGCACGCACCGCATGAACAAACAAACTAAATTCATCTGCGTGTCGTTACCGCGACCCCTGAACTGCGACCCTGAACTGCAACCCTGAACCACGACCTTGAACCGCGACCCTGAACCGCAATCCTGAACCACGACCCTGAACCGCGACCCTGAACCGTGACCCTGAACCACAACCCTGATCCACGACCCTGAACCGCGACCCTGAACCGCGACCCTGAACCACGACCCTGAACCGCGACCCTGAACCGCGACCCTGAACCGCAATCCTGAACCACAACCCTGAACCACGACCCTGAACCGTGATCCTGAACCACGACCCTGATCCATGACCCTGAACCGCGACCCTGAACCACGACCCTGAACCACGACCCTGAACCATGACCCTGAACCGCGACCCTGAACCGCGACCCTGAACCGCGACCCTGAACCGCGACCCTGAACCGCGACCCTGAACCACGACCCTGATCCACGACCCTGAACCACGACCCTGAACCGCGACCCTGAACCACGACCCTGAACCACGACCCTGAACCACGACCCTGAACCGCGACCCTGAACCGCGACCCTGAACCATGACCCTGAACCGCGACCCTGAACCGCGACCCTGAACCACGATCCTGAACCGCGACCGTGAACCACGACCCTGAACCACGATCCTGAACCACGACCCTGAACCGCGACCCTGAACCGCGACCCTGAACCGTGACCCTGAACCGCGACCCTGAACCACGACCCTGAACCGCGACCCTGAACCGCGACCCTGACTCGAGTTCTGGAGGCGGCCACCGTTCGTCGCGCCCGCGATGTACCGGGCGTGGAATGTTCCATCAAAACAAAAATCACCCGTCTCATCTGACCTGACATTCAAAGCCGAGTCAAGCGGCCGATGACATTCGCCTGTGGATTCTAGGATTGCAGATTCCACCGGCTTGCGTAATGTTAACCGTAATGCGTGGGGGTTTTAAATGTGGCTTGGGTCGCCAGCCTAATCTCTGAAGTGGCTCTTAAAGAGGCCATGCGGAGAGAGTATGTGTGTGTGTGTGTGGATTAGCGGTGCTCTACCGAGTGTGGTGAAACTGTGTGCGTGTTTCTTTGGGGAAAGTCGGAGTGAGTTGACTGAACAGCGAGGGATTGGAAGAAGCCCTCCTGTGCCTCGCTCCTAGGTTGTTCCCTGCCAAATCTGATCGCGCCTCACTGTGATAGGAACCTGTACGGTAATGGAGTGCAGCTCTTACTGAGACGGGCAAAAAAATTGAAGAGGACACACATATATAGATATAAAGAAGGGAAGCAAATGTTGTACGCTTCTTCTAAAAGCAAGTGCTAACGTCAAATGCCATTGTTGTAAAATACTAAGTGTGTCAACTTTGGTAGCGGACAAGTTTCCCCAGAGCTTGAGACAGGCTTTTATTAACTGCCACCTGCGCCTAAATCGGACTGGACACATTCCGGGAAATGTTTTCCCGCAGTCAGATGCAGTTTGCGCAGGCGAAGCGGCGCGAGATTCCATCATCGTCGCCACCACAGCCACCGCCGCCGCGTTCCCCATGATTGGAATGCTTATTGCACGGATCGTGCCGCGCAACCACAAACTAATGCCCGCTCACGAGGGGCTCCGCGCGCTCACGCTCGTCGCTTTCACTACAAATTACTTCTGGTAACCTCTGCTCGGCGTGCCCACAGTGGGAATTTTAATTTTTCATTCGCAAACAAGGCGCTGTAATTGACATCGGTTATTACCCCGCGATTCCGCATCGCCCGTCTCGTCGAATTAGCACCGGGAGTCCATGAATAATACACGTGTCCGCAGCCGAGCCTGCCATTTCCTGCTGCTTTAAATGCGGTCCGAACACGTTACTACCGGGAGTAGGATGACACGCTCGTTGCGTGCGCGCGTGGCGTGGTATCGGGTGGTTGGTGGCCTCGTTGAAGTGTCGCGATTGCGGTCTAAACGCCGCTGCGTTACCAATGGCGGCGACGCTCGCCTTCCCTGCGCGATCGCTGTCCACTGCTCCATTGGCCGATTCGTCCCGAGTTCCTTGCACAATCCCTGTGCTCTATCGGTCAGAGCCTCGCTCGCACGCCTTCAGAGGAACGTCACTTACGCTGGCACTGGGCGGGGGGCTGTGCGTTCCGCTGGAGGTGCTCACCCATTAGTGGGCCCCCAAGCAAAAGATAAATATTCAAGATAAAGATGCGGTTGCAAGAAAAAATTTAGCAAATATATTAAACTCGCCTTTTGCCCGTCCTAGGACGTAAGCTGTAATATTTACGAAAAAATAGAGCAGAGTATAATTGTATCTTGTGTAAATTTAATGGCAGTGAATCTTGCACGAAAGTATGTCATCAAACACTTCACTGCATTTCACTGTAGCACTGTATTAATGGCAGTGAATTTGGCACAAAACGAAGTCATAAAATACTTCACTGCAGTTCACTGTAGCACTGTAGAAAACTGACCTTCAATTTGTTCAAATTCATTGCTCTGATACTTTATTTTCTTCTGCTTTCGGTCGCTGGGGTTGAAATTATTCGGAAATTGATACAATATCTGGAAAATCACCGAGAAATATCTATTTTACCATAATGTAGAAGCATAAATTAGACTTACCTTTTGTCTCAAGTGCTGAAGAAATGAATAAAGACACACATCTACTTTGTTGTTGCGTAGAATTATTTATTAGATTCACTTTCAATAAAGAAACGTCAAACTTAAAGAGAATTTGCGAAAAAAAATATTTCCGCTCGACCTTCTTCTGCCTCAGTGTAAAAATCTACCCGCTCATGAATATTAATGACGGGGGAGGGGGGGGTGCGGCATGTGGAGTGACGTCACGCGCGTTACACACAAACAGACATTCTTTGCTCATTATAGTCGTAATAGTTCGCTAATATACTGTATATACACGTATGTTAAGTATTATCGTAACGAGAAGCTCTTTATGCTGGAGTTGGACTGATGTTTGGCAAATCCCCATAATCATTTTTGCTGAATCTGGAACCTCTTAAGCTGCTTGGGGTCCTGTGCTATGGCTCAGTTCGCTTATCCCTCGCGCCGCTAACCGTAGGCAGGGGACGGGCAGCACCAGCTTCGAATTTCCCAAGAGATGTATTTTAGTTCTGACCGAGTCTGTTTGGCTCGGGCTCGTGAAGAACGTCCACCGCTGCCCGTGCCGTTTCACTTACTCGCCGGGACATGGCGTGGGCCCGGTGAGAAATGGCGAGCGCAAACCGCTTGGATACTGGACCGGTCGACCAGGCGCCGCGTGTTAATGAGCGGCGGCGGCACGGGCGACGTTCCGTGTTTCAAGTTGACCTTAGCGGTGTTCGGCTTAGCTCGCACGCCAGCGCGCACGTGCCTAATTGTGTCTCTCTCAACGGGTGCCGGAATAGCGGTGCGCACGAAACATTAATTATTAATGTGTGTTGCGCAGGAAGCCGTAATTGGTTGCAGGCGAAAGCCGAGTCTGTCCCGCGCGGAAGCCCGACCCCACGCGATTTCTCCGAGGATGCACACTTTGGAGATGACGTGCCCTTCTCCCCAGGGTTTTTTATATTTACATTAAAAAGAAACAACCTCTTTGGTAAAAAAAAAAAAATTGAACGGTGCTAATTTTCCCAGGCGGGTACAATTTCATATTCACACATCGAGAGATAAACATTTGGTAAATACAGAGATTAAAAGGCACCAAGCCGTAGAGGATTGTTTCTTGATCTGCGGGCGTCTGTTGAGCGCAGTCTACCTGTAAACATTTCTGAAGGTTAAAGCATTTCTCCGTTGCGCACACGGGAAGAGGCGGCTGTCGGAAACGGACGTGTTGATCTGTTTATTAATTCAATTTCATAAACTTTTCAGGGCAAGGTGATTCACGTTAATTTGCGGTAACAAGTCCTGGCACCTTGGAGATCTCCGCGTTTGAAGCGGGCGGGTCTGATGCCACGTTATGATATCACTGTGTAACAAATTATTATTTTTTTGTTCCTGGGTAGTAAGCAGAGGTGGGACAAAGTCATTGTTATGCAAGTCCAAGTCGAGTCTGAAGTCATCAAATTCATGACTCGAGTCTGACTCGAGTCCAAGTCACATGACTCGAGTCCACACCTCAGAGGTGGGACAAAGTCATTGTTATGCAA